AGGCTCTGTCTCAAAAAAAAAAAAAAAAAAGATGTTGGGCTAGCTTCAAACCCAACCCAGGGGTCACTTCTTCCAGGAAGTTCCCCTGGCTCCAGTTTTAGCTTAGGGCCTCTTCTTGGCCTCTTGGCTGGCAGCACTTCTGCCTGGTTGCTTCCCCACTGGGGAGCCCGGGTCGGCCAGGCCTAGCTTTGCCTCAGGTATATCCTGAGTCCTTGGAAAATTCTGCGTGAACAGCTGTCTTACATCAAGTGGCCCAGAGCCTTTCCAGATAATAGAGCAGAGACCTCAAGACAGGAGGAACCTGCCCACAGCCACAGGATGAGTAGGGCAGGGCAGGGGTAAGGTGCAGTCTCCTGATCCTAGTCTCCTAGTCTGGGGCTTCTCCTACAAGGTGAGCTGCTTCTGTGACAATGGAGATGTAAGTTGAAGACACCTACCGTGTTTCCCCTAATAAGACCTACCCAAAAAAAAGCCCTAGCAGGATTTCTATGCATTTGTTAAATATATGCCCTACCCAGATAATAAGACCTAGTAATGGGTGTGGCTATGAAGCAGCTACGCCATGCATTTCGGCATGGAGTGGTAAGGAAGACTGGAATACCTTTTTATCTGCCACAGCTCCTTTCTCCAAGCCATTCGCACTTGCACAGGTGCATGTGTGGTAACTGTGGTGGCAGGCACCCTATTGCACAGTGTGAATGGCTAGGGGAAAGGAGTTCATACATCACTAGCAACAGCCCCACCAACAAGGTTGGCTCCCCCTGTCAGGTTCCAGAAGAAAATGACTTAACTGTATTTGAATAAATGTAGATTGTTGTATTATACTTAATAAAAATAAGACATCCCCTGAAAATAAGCCCTAGTGTGTCTTCTTGAGGAAAAACATGGTATTTTTGGGGAAACATGGTATCTGTTAAGAGTCAGGTGCTAATTTTAAGGAAAAGGGGTGTTAGAAAGATAAGTGGGGTCTTGGGCAGAGAGGGCCTGGGGGAAGACATGCTAACCACTCCAGGCCTTGCCTCTCTCTAGCCAAGGTATTCTCCTCTGTGAACGGGGACAACAGGCAGGAAGGAATGGGAAAGCATCTGGAAATAGCGCAGAGCGTGGCCTCAGCAGAGCCATCTGTCTGCCCAGACAGCTTCACCCTTGTGGTGGGATGTTGTTGTGCTGCCTATAGCCTTAATCCCATCCCTGAGCTCCTCTAAAGGCTATACTGTGGGCCAGAGGCCATGGTTCTGACCTTCCAGGGTTCCCAAGGAGTCAGGCAGGGTGGGAACATGTCAGCAGCAGGTTCACAGAGAAGAGAGTGGGTGAGTTGGGTTAGACCAGGAACAGGAGACAGGGTCTTCTTAGCAGAGGGAAACATAACGCATGTGCAAAGCCACAGAGGGAGGAAGGTGTGTTCTGTGCTCATATACTTTTGTAACACAAGTTACAAATGGTGCTTTCATACCAAGGGCTCCTCCAGGCTTCTGGGTGGTAACACTGGCTCCTCTGTTCTCAGGAAGGTTATTCTGAAACTGCTAGGGTCCCTCTCACATTTCTGCTGGCTGCCCGGCCCCAATGATTTTACTAGCATGTGAGATTTCTGAGCACAGCAAACCTGGGTTGCAGTCCCTAGGGAGTAGAGGCTGACACCCACATTAATTTTAATGATCCTGTGGAAATGGTAGGGCTGCAGGAGAATCCACTAGCCTTTTACCAGTAGGGCCAGGACTTTGGAAAAACATATCCCATGCCTGGCCTTGTGATAAGGCAGAGGGAACAGCACAGCCCACAGAACACTGGGAAAAAGAGCCTGGAATGGAAACCCTGAGCAGCAGCTGCAATGTCTCTGACACAGAAACCCTGAACAAGTGGCTGGGAGGTGGCAGTCAGAGCCATGGTGCCACAGAGACTACCGGGGCAGCTAGCAACTCCCTGAGATAGACAGAACAGCATAGCCTAGCACACAACACAACAAAAGGTTAAATTTTTTTGAGGTCCTGAGCTGATCTGGTCCCTAACAGGTACTCAGCAGCCAATGGCAAATTTTGTGACCAATGTCATCACCATCTCTGTAGGGGGCTTCTGCAGCTGCTACTGGTTAAGAAGGGGTGGGGTGCTAGCATCCCAAGATGACCAGGTTTAATTAAGGCCCTCACCTGTCAATGACCAGCTCCAGTAGTACAGCATGGGACAGCTGCGTGAACTCGGGGTCACCTGGCACGTGGTCATAGTGCTCTAGCAAGTCTACCATGTCAAGATCACAGGCCACACGGTCAGGGAACTTCCAAGAGGGGAAACGCACGGGCCCAGCACGAGAGAACACGTCTACGATGGCGCCCTGCAGATCAGTGAGGTCCTTGCGCAGGCTTTCCATGCAGGCCTGGCTGCCCAGCAGGTGTGCCATCCTCACAGCTCCTGGGGCAGGCAGAGAGGAGTCTTGCTAGCAGAGCCATGCAACTATTGCTGGAGGGACTCCCTAAAGCCCTAATTTGCCTGGTGGCTCCTAGGCTAAAAGTATTCCCCATAACTTGGGGGAAAGTCTGCTCCCTAGTCCCAGGTGATAAGGTGTTGAGACCTCGTTCTGGGCAGCCTCACCAGCCTCCCTCTCACTCACTCTTGCCCAGGCCCCCACTGCTGAGTCCATCCTTCCACAAGTCCCTCCTGAAAGCCTGTGTGCAAGGCCTCCTACTAAGGGCCAAGAAGATACAGCTATGAATAAAAATGTGCCCACCACGCTCCCCTCCCAGGGTGAACCTTCAAATAAGGGCACAGACAACTGAAAAAAAGAGTTCTAGCTACAGTGTATGTGGGGGGAGTGTTTTGGGCCATACCACGCTACTATCATCTCCTGCTTAGACCATTGTAACCATTGTACCAGGTTTCCTGGGCCACAGCCTGCCTGTTCCAATCTGATCAACTTCAGCTCCAGAGATCTGGGACAAACTCTATGTGATGACATCACATTGACTAACAATGCCTCAGGACTCCTGGGGGGAAAAAAGGCCACCTACACCACAACTTCCTCTCCCTTTCAGGCCCCTCCCATACTCCCCACTCCTACTATCAGCAGCTATGAGCACTACTAGCTCATGCACCAGGTACTTGTTTCTGAATCCTTTTCCCTCTGTCCCTTTGTCCCCATCCAATTCCCACCACCTGGCTAACTGCTTCTCTTGAGCATCCTCTGGGCTAGGCTAGATAAGCCCTCTGGGCTTCCCTCATCGAAGCTCTGATTGCACTCTGCCCAACAGCCTCCTCTCCAGCCCACCTCAGTCACTGTGGTATCTCCAGTGTGGCCAGCCTGGGGACTGGCCCACTGTAGATGCTCACTGGTAAATGACTGACTGAGTGTTTGAATGGAGAAGATAAAAAGAATCACAGAGAAAATTAAAAATGCACCGATGTTTAGGGGAAAACAAGTCCTAAACTGGAAAAGAAGAAAACCAGAAGATAAGTGCTGAGACCTATCCTAATCACTCTGGTGACAGGGAGCCCATGACATCTTCATACAGGGAGTTCCAACCCTGCTCCTTCTTTACAGTGTAGCCTCAAGCAAGTCACTTTACTCCTCTCAGCCCCAGCTTCTTCAGCTGTAAAATGGGGACACTGTCCTCAAGTAGTCTGGGTTGTTGAAAGACTTTAAAGGGGTCATGAGTAAAGTACATGGTCGAAGGCACTAGTAAAAGTTCACAAGCAACACTAACATGAATGATATTCTTAGCAATAACAACAGCAGAGAATATCTTTGTCTTCAGCACATGCCCAGCTCCTCTACTTCCCTAATTCCCCAGCAGCACACAAAGAATGCTTTTCTTCCATCTCTGGACCCTGTGGACAGTGACTGGATGATCTACCCATGGCCGTTGACTCAGAAGCTAGAGAGGTGGCTGGGCACGGTGACTGACACCTGCAATCCTAGCATTCTGGGAGGCCAAGGCAGGATGATCACTTGAGCTCAGAAGTTCAAGACCAGCCTAAGCAAGCATGAGATCCCATCCCTACTCTAAATAGAAAAAAAAGGCTCGGTGCCTGTGGCTCAGCCGGCTAAGGCGCCAGCCACATACACCTGAGCTGGCAGGTTCGAATCCAGCCCGAACCCGCCAAACAATGACGGCTGCAACCAAATAATAGCTGGGCATTGTGGTGGGTGCCTGTAGTCCCAGCTACTTGGGAGGCTGAGGCAGGAGAATCACTTGAGCCCAGGAGTTGGAGGTTGTTGTGAGCTGTGATGCCACAGCACTCTACCCAGGGCAACAGCTTGAGGCTCTGTCTCAAAAAAAAATAGAAAAACAAATCAGCTGGGCATTGTGGTGGGTTCCTATAATCCCAGCTACTCAGGAGGCTGGCCCAGGAGTTTGAGTTGCTGTGAGCTAGGCTGATGACACAGCACCCTAGCCTGTGGCAACAGAGACTCTAAGAAGAAAGAAAAAAAAAGGTGGAAGGAAGAGGTGAGACAAGGCTGACCTGGTCCTCCTATAGTTTGTGATGCCCTGGCAGGGCCAGGGTTCAAGTTAGCAGCTGGTTTCAGAGCCAGCACTTTGCTGGGAGTTGGGTACCTATGCAGATGCTGAGCTCTGGCCCCTCCCTACTTGCCAGCAGAGGTCCCTTGTCCTTTGTGGATTTCTCAGTATCAGGAAGCACCTCCTTGCACCATAACCTCTCCCTGAAATGTAGGGGCTAACTTGGGCAGTATTTAGGCCACAGTCCCTTTTGCCTCAGCAAGTCCAGGCATGGTGGGGAAACGTCTAAAACCTATCCTCCCCCAACCTCCCTCATCTCAGAAAAGTGGCAACTACTGAGTATTCCATGGTTTGGCCCAAGTCCAGGTTTGTCCTCAAATCCCCTTTCCTTTACCCCCACATCCCAGCACCAAGTGCTGCCAATCCTACATCTAGACCACATTTGGAAACAAGCACATCTCTCCATTGTCGCTGCCTCTGCCCCACCATCTCCCCAGACCACTGCCACAGCCTCAGAGGTCACCCACTTCCCTTGGGCCCAGCACCACCTGTTCCATTCTGACCACAGGCAATGGATTGTTTAAAAAGGCAGCTCACCCTCCCGCTCAGAGCCTTTAATGTCTTTATGCAACACTAAAGACTGGGGAAATTCCTGTGGCCTGACCCCACCACTTCAGTGTCTCACCACCCAGAATGCATACCTTCCCCACACTTCATCTAGATAACACACCCCTCTAGGGTCTTTACCCAAAGGCTCCTTCCTCAGGAAAGCTCCCTGGGTCCACAGGCTGGATGAGGTCCCCCATTACACATTGTCAGAGCATCATGTTCTTTTCCTTCCCAGCACACTCTGTCACTGGAAAGGAATCATTATTTGAGTCATTATGAAGAACTGACAGCCTGTCTTCCTGTGAGTGTGTGGTAGTGCCTCTTGGTCACGTGGGTCACAGGTGCTGGGAAGCTCGGTGGCAGCCAGGGGTGATTGCTGAAGGCTGACCTGGATTGTTCAGCCTCCCAGAGGACTGGGCCTTGCCCTCACCTCCACGCAGGTGCTGCCCATGGAGCTGGAGTGACTGAGGGTATGTGGCTCTCAGACCAGTCTGTGGGCTCTGGAGCGCTGAGTCAGAGGCTTATTCAGGTGTCTAGCTTCTTGTCTCCAGTGCAGGCCTTGGGAATAGATAAAGGAAAGAGTGAATGAGTCAGGCAGGGCTGCCTATGGGGCAGGGTGAAAGCTGTCCAGGAAGAAAGGGAGGTGTTCCAGGATCAAGGAATGGGTTGAGGGAGACAGCAAGTGGGATGCCTACCTTGAGCCTGAACAGAGGGTATGCTTCAATAGTGCTAGCTCTGGCAGGGTGCAGTGGCTCATCCCTGTAATCCCAGCACTTTGGGAGGCTGAGGCAAGAGGATTGGTTGAGGCCAAGAGTTCAAGACCTGCCTGGACAACACAGTGAGACCCCACCTGTCTCTCTTTCTTCTCATGACTATACTAACAAGGATTGAAACCCCACCTCTACAAAAAAAAAATAAGAAAAGTTAGCTGGGTGGCCCATGTCTGTAGTCCAGTTACCCAGGCAGCTGAGGTGACAGGACTACTTGAGCCCAGGATTTCAAGACAGCAGTGATCTATGATCATGCCACTACAGTCCAGCCTGGGTGATAGAGCAAGACCCTATCTCTAAAAATGTTTTTCCTTTTTTCTACTTCTTAGCCATATACATAGAAAAATATTTTTTAAAAAATAATGCTAGCTCTGATTAAAGAACTTATTGTGTGCCATTTCCTCAAATCTTCCTCCTTTATACAGACGAGGAAACTGTGTAGTTAGGAAGCCAGCCCAAGGTTATTCAGGGAGCTGGGATTCTCAGTCCAACATCTCTGCTGTGTCCTCCTCAGGCCATGCTGTTTCTGGAGCAGCAGAGTCCAAAAGAAATAAGGTGAGCCATACACAGGATTTTAGATTTTCTATTAGTTACTGATGAGGTACAGGAAATACTACCCCAAAATATAGCACCTTGGAAACTAAGAAAACTGCAGAAGCAGGAAGACCATAATCACCTTCCCTCATCCATTTCTCTAAAACAGGCCACTGGGAGGGTCACTCTCTGCCCTATACCTAGCTGGAAAGGAATGTCACAAAGGGACACCAATAAATATCTGAACAAATGGGCCTTGCTAAATTCTCCCCCAGCTTATAACTAAGATCATACCCTCCCCTTTGTCTTCTAATCAGACTTTTGCATAATTGTCTATAAAAATACACAGGTCTGTTACTTGGGCGGCTGAGGCAAGACAATTACTTAAATCCAAGAGTTTGAGGTTGCTGTGAGCTGTGACGCCACAACACTCTACCAAGGGCAACATAGTGAGACTGTCTCAAAGAAAAACAAATACACAGATCTCTCCATTTCTTTGGGTTTTCATTTCTGAAGATATCCATGTTAGGAAACACTTTTTTTTTTTTTTTTGAGACAGAACCTCAAGCTGTCAGCCTGGGTAGAGTGCCATAGCATCACAGCTCACAGCAACCTCCAACTCCTGGGCTTAAGTGATCCTCCTGCCTCCGCCTCCCAAGTAGCTGGGACTATAGGCGCCTACCACTACACCCGGCTATTTTTTTGGTTGCAGCCATCATTGTTTGGTGGGCCAGGGCTGGATTTGATCCTGCCAGCTCAGGTATATGTGGCTGGCACCTTAGTCACTTGAGCCATAGGCGCCAAGCCAGGGAACACTTTTATTAAATAAATGTGTATGCTTTTCTCTTGTAAATCTATCTTGTTATAGGCATCTCAACCATGGACCTTGTAGTGAGTGAGGAAAAGATATTACTTTTTCTCCCCATACATTAAAAAGAATTTTTTAAAGAGGCAAATTAATTTTAATGACATATTTTATTTAACCCAATATACCCAAAATATTATCATTTCAACATGAAATCAAGATAAAA